AAACATAACAATAAATATTTACCTAAAGGGAGCCTTTAGTCGTACACCTTGACGCAATATATTATATAACTCTGTACACAACATATCACACCACCTTTTACTGGCCCCGCAGCTGTGAACTACTGATCCCCGGAGTCACGCGTCTGACACTGTACAACAAAGTGAGTCACACACAGGCGGCACTTGGTGATGACCCACAGGGCTTTTATGAAGGGCTGCCTGAGACACCCACTCCCGCCTGCACTTACCCATCAAGTTAAATATATCTGTGTCTTCTGCTAAGTAACCAGTTTATTATATGACTTCATATAAAAGGCTACACTCAAGTTGGTAAATTATCTGTCCATTCATCACTACAATTTCGTGGCTGGAAATGAAAGGCAAAAGGTCCTTATGTCGGCTTTGTAAGACAAGGTTTACATCTCAGCTCACTTAAAGCAAACTCGAAATTGAGGTGAAAAATACGCCGTTCCTATAACTTACTTCAATATCTTCACCGGACATACATCAAGACACGGACGAGAAGTTAACGTCGACCCGATGCTAAACACAACCACACAGGAAGACCAGCCAGGGACAGTCCTACAAAATTATCAACTTTTTGTCACGTTTAGAATAATAAATACCTACATAACTCTTCGTTTAGGCAGGCATTGGGAATCAGACATTGAACATTGGACATCAGATATCAGACATTGGACTTATCTCAGAGAAACTCGACCATCCAAGGAGGAACATATTAGTAAAGTTTCAGCAGCAATATTGAACCAGCAGACTTTACGATGATGCAGGAAATGTGAAAAAAAATAAGGACAGATGAAATGACAAGAGACGGACGACCACAACAACAACAACAACAACTCGACGCAGTTAATATTAGCGTAGAACTGACGGACGGACGGACGGACAACCTAGAGAAAGTGGAAAGTTTACGAACGACGGAATGATGTTAGGTGGATGACGACGGATAGACAGACAACGACAGCGGACAGACAAACAAGCACCGATGACCGACGGACGGACAGACAGACAGAGACCAAAAAATAAATCCCTATCACAGGTAACAAACTCAATAACAAAAGCGACAGAGACAAAATAAAAATAAAAGTCCACTGTATTTGTTGCTGTTTGTACTAAAAAAGGAAAAAGGAAAAAAAAAAATCCCTGTTGCATTTCGGGTGATTTGGCGCCGTTCATTTTTCATCACGGTCATTTAAGTCTGAAAGCAATTAAAACTATTTTGTTGATCATTTTCATTCTGGCGTCCATGTATTGTTGGAACTGTAGGTTAGTGTATGGTGATGCTGTATGTTTATGGTGACCGTATACACACACACACACACACACACACACACACACACACACACACACACACACACACACACAGGCCTCTTCGTGCCAGGGGTGAGGAGGGAGGGTTAAGGTGTGACCCTTCCTGTCAACACTCAGCAGGTAAGGTACAGGTAATGAATCACTCCACACCTTGGCTCCAACCAGGGGTTATACAGGTACCACGGGTAAGCACACTTGATCAGAGAGTACTGTTTGTATTTTGAGTACAAGGGGACTAGAGTACGAGGGCAAGAGTATCAGGAGGGCTAAAGTACATGACGGCTAGAGTACAAGGGCAAGAGTACCAGGAGGACTTGAGTACACAAGGGCTAGAGAACACGAGGGATAGAGTAAACGAGGGCTAGAGTACACGAGGGCTAGAGTACAAGAAACCTAAAGTACCAAAAGGGAATACAATCATTCATTTTGGTCAGGAATCAAACCCGTGAAGCCTAGGTTAGGTTAGGTTAGGTTATGAGTTTGAATTATACACACATACACATAGTCACAATAGTCAACTTAACATTTACACCATTGTTATATTCATTTTATAATTAAAATGGATTTAAACTTTATTCAATTAGTTCAATTTTGTTCAATATTTGTTAACGATTACCGACATGCAGTGAATTATATATACACCAGCCTGATATACACCGTAATCCTTTTTTTAATCAAATAAATCCCCGGAAATCTGCTAAATCTGGAGACCAACATATATACTCCCCAGTAACCATGGCAACTCTGTAGCCTAGGCAACTAAGAAACCATGGCAGTTCAGTCACTATGGCAACTCAGATGGTTAGGTGAATAACTATGACAGGTTTAGTTGGTAACACACATGAATCATGGTGAGAGAGAGAGAGAGAGAGAGAGAGAGAGAGAGAGAGAGAGAGAGAAAGAGAGAGAGAGAGAGAGAGAGAGAGAGAGAGAGAGAGAGAGAGAGAGAGAGAGAGAGATTAGTTCGTTGCTCCCCAAATAATAATAATAACAACAATAATAATAATAAAATAATAATAATAATAAAATAATAATAATAATAATAATAATAATAATAATAATAATAATAGTAATAATAATAATAATAATAACAATAACAAAAATAATAACAATAATAATAACAAGTTCAACAACAATATCAATAGTAAATAACAACAACAAATACATAATAAAACTCTCCATTCAAAACCAAAATAAACACACGGGGGGGGAAGGGAGAGGGAGAGAAAGAGAGGGGAGGAGAGGAGAGGAGGGGGGGGGTGAGGAGTAATGCTTTACCCAGGTTTATAAATATGCAGATTTTTTTTTTGTGTGTGGCGCCAATCTGAAATGTAGCGTGCGAATATTTTTCATGACGAGTCTAGTGGTAGTTTGATATCAGGTGGCGAATGATCATCATATATATATATATATATATATATATATATATATATATATATATATATATATATATATATATATATATAGTGTGTGTGTGTGTGTGTGTGTGTGTGTGTGTGTGTGTGTGTGTGTGTGTGTGTGTGTGTGTGTGTGTGTGTGTGTGTGTTATTCTTCTCTCCATCTCTCCCCTCCAATTCTCTCCATTTCCTTTTATCTCCCTATTCTCATTTCTTCTCACCTTCATTACTTATCATTGCCTCTCTCCCTCTCTCTCCCTTCCTCCCTCTCTTACATAACAAGCTTTTATTCCACCTAATTCCTCGCCTCTTTCCCTCCACTTAATCATCATAATCCTTCTTATTCCCCATCTTCTTCTTCTAATTGTCTCCTGCCTTTTACCCCCTTCGTTTATTATTACTGGTCTCTCTCTCTCTCTCTCTTCCCCTCTCACCTTCTCATTCCTCCCTCTCCCTGACCCCTCTCACATGTTTTGGCAATTTATCCCCCTCAACCTCTCTCACTTCCCCCACTCTCCTCAACTCTTTCTCTTCCTGTTTCACAATCTCCCCTCCCTCCCCTCCCCTCCCGCTTCGCACCCTAATCTATCACAATTTCCCCTCCATTTACTAGTAATCTATCTCTCTCTCTCTCTCTTCCCCAGTGCTTCTCCCCTTTCCCCACTCTTCTCTTAGTCTCAAAATCGTCAGCCTTTTCTTTCATCCGACTGTATCTTATTTCCTCCTTCGTTACCCATCACATAATAATAATAATAATAATAATAATAATAATAATAATAATAATAATAATAATAATAATAATAATAATAATAATAATAATAATAATAATAATAATAATAATAATAATAATAATAATAATAATAATAAGACTCAGGTGACAAGGAACAAAAATCAATACTTTTGTTGACGTCTAACCTCTAGTGACCCTAACCTGGACGATTTTCTGACCTTTGACCTTGAGTAAATTTGACCTTAACCTTTGACCTCGACAAGTTAGTGTTGTTCAGTTCCTCTTGTGATAATATGGGGTAATTTGAGGTCACCCTGGGCGTCATTCTCTACCTAGATCATGTTTTGGTTTCTGACCTTTCCGTAGCCTTGACCTTTCACCCCAGAGGTTTGGGTTATATGAATTAATACAAGCTTCACCCTCCGGACAAAAGTATTGACCTGTGACCTACCTGTGACCTTGACCTAGAGGCTTGAATTTAATGTAGTGAACATCTTCTCATTAAGATGCATCAGCTAACAAAATTCAATTAAGATCGGTGAAGCTGTCTCAGAGATACTGTACGCCTGGGGGCACACACACACACACACACACACACACACACACACACACACACACACACACACACACACATACACAGAATAAAACATGAAAAATATGACTGCGATAACTACAACACTAGGACCCAGCAGACTGCAGAAGCCAGCAGACCAGGACTCAGCAGACAACACACACACAGCCTGGTGGGGGGCCTGGTGGGGGCCTGGTGGGGACTCAGGTCAAGTTTTTGTCATAAGTTTGGTTCTCCTGAAGGCAGTTGTCACGCCTGACTGCCTCCAAGCACGAGAGACGAGGCGCTCACTTTTTTTACCGTAAATAAGATAACAGAAAACATCCTAACTTGGGGTCCAATTTTCCACTTAAATAGGATAAATTAGTGTCTATTTAATTCTCTCAGTGATGGAGTTTTTCTACGTTGAGGGAGGGAGGGAGGAGGAGGGAGGGAGGGAGGGAGGAGGAGGAAGGGTGTAGATGAAAAAGAGTGGTTGGAGGGGGTGGGGGGATAGAGAGGGGGTGAAGAAAGTGAGGTGGTAGGTCAGGGTAGGTCGTTAAGTGAGGTGGTAGGTCAGGGTAGGTCGTTAAGTGAGGTGGTAGGTCAGGGTAGGTCGTTAAGTGAGGTGGTAGGTCAGGGTAGGACGTTAAGTGAGGTGGTAGGTCACGGTAGGACGTTAAGTGAGGTGGTAGGTCACGGTAGGGCGTTAAGTGAGATGGGGTCCGTTCTTATCAATATTGAGGTCACCGTTCTGCCCCAGCCTCACATACTACACATATCTCCCACCATAGCAGGCCAGTCCTCATTAACACCTATATTAAAAAATATTTCAACCCCCCTCCTCCCTTCACGTCTCTTTGTCTCTCTCCCTGATTCTCTGTTCTTCTCTCCTACTACTTATCCCACACTTCTCTCTCTCGTACCTGAAGTGTTATACAGATAATCAAAGAAAACGGGTAATATAGACACAAGGAAGGGGGTTACTTACCTGTAGTTTAATGAGGATGGTGACGGACTGCTGAAACACCTTGGTCTGGTATCTGGTACGCTGAGTAGGAGGCAGCAAGTAGCGAATTTCATGGTCTGTGGGGAAAGGAAAAGAAGGAAGAGGAGGTTAGTGGTGAACAGCAGCTTAGTGGAGGTCACATACACACACACACACACACACACACACACACACACACACACACACACACACACACACATACATACACACATAAAGCAACCGACGAACAGAAACCACGAATTATTTACTTACGGTCAACACAGCCTCCAAAAATATATACACCAGGTGCCACTAAATTCCTAAATAAATAATACTCCTGTAGGTGTGGCCTGAGGTCCTGCCAACGCCAGCACTAACACTGAACAAGGTCTCGTCAAACTTGGACACACGGAGGCCAAATTAGTCAACATACTGCCCAACTCCAGGAAATGTGACGTTCTGATCACTTTCTCACCAAATACACACTAGAATAATGCTATTTTAAATGTGGGAAATTGATTGGACTTTATTGAATATTACCTGAGTATTTTGTTCACCTGGAGATTAATTAACCTCATAGTTTATTTCACCTGATGGTTAAATACCCAATCTCTAACCTAATCTAACCAATATCTAAGAGTAACTTCCTATGTGTGTTAGTGCCAGGTTGTGTTAGTGCCAGGTTGTGTTAGTGCCAGGTTGTGTTAGTGCCAGGTTGTGTTAGTGCCAGGTTGTGTTAGTGCCAGGTTGTGTTAGTGCCAGGTTGGGTTACTGTCAGGTGGCACTGAAGGTGTAGGCAGTCAATAGTAGACCGTAAATAACAGGTGTTTTGTAGTACTTCCCTCCCGTTATGGCTCTCATAAACACGGGTCGTGGAACATGACAAGACCGGGTGCCAAGCTGTCTGTCCGCCTGTCTGTTTCTGGATCCCTGTGTGTGTTTGTCCATCTGTCTTTGTACACACACACACACACACACACACACACACACACACACACACACACACACACACACACACACTACACACTACACACCACTATAACACTACACCACTACAACACTACACCACTACATCACACTACACCACTACAACACTACACCACTACATCACTACACCACTACAACACTACACCACTACATCACTACACCACTACAACACTACACCACTACATCACTACACCACTACAACACTACACCACTACAACACTACACCACTACAACACTACACCACTACAACACTACACCACTAACCCACTACACCACTTCACCACTACACCACTACTTCACTAGAACAACACAACACTACACCACTACACAACTACACCACTACTACACCACTACACCATTACTACACCACCACTACACCACTACAGCACCACTACACTTCTACTACACCACTACACCAGTTCACGTCCAGTTGTATCAGTATTTCCTCCGGTTTTTATCACAAAATCCATAATTGGCGGGTGGACGCTCAACAAACTGTAGGTCACGAGAGGTCACGGTCAAGGTCACACGCTCTCTGTCTGTCTGTCTGTCTGTCTATTTTTCTATCTATTTCTGTCCGCCTATCTTTATATTTCTGTCTCGGTGTCTATCTGTGTCTGTTTCTGTGTCTCGCTGTCTCTCTCTCTCTCTCTCTCTCTCTCTCTCTCTCTCTCTCTCTCTCTCTCTCTCTCTCTCTCTCTCTGTCTGTCTGTCTGTTTGTCTCTCTTCAAATCTCCAGTGAAATATATCCAATCTATATCACCACGAGAAAAAATATATCTCTCTGTCTCAAAATCCAGACGAAATATATCTCTCCGAGTCTCCTAGTTGATGAAAAGGATCTCACGAGGACGAGGGAAAATATAGACGACAGAGCCAGAATGAATCTTTTTCCCGAGAGGAGATTAAATCCCTCGGGGTTCCTGGGAATTAATCTCTTTAGGATTTTAGTTAACAGGCTTGGTTAGGTAAGGTCAGGTTAGGTAGGCTTAGGTCAGGTCAGGTCAGGTTATGTTAGGTTAGGTTTGTAGTTATGGGAAGATTAAATCTATTCTTCCTAATTAGGGGATTAAGGCAGTAGGATTTATGCTATAACATTAATAATTAAATTAATCCCTCCAATGATTAAATTGTCGAAGGATTAATAATTGCATACTTGGAAGAATTTACTCTGTAGTAGTAGTAGTATTTTCAACAATATTACTATTCTCATTAACAGCATGAAAATTATGACCATTACCACAGTTAATTGTCATCACCATCATTACCACCATTAATTACCATCACCATCATTACCACCATTAATTACCATCACCATCATTACTACCATTATCATTACCATCAATCCAATAGAGTCAATACCATTCACCCAGTCATCAAGAGAACCATACCTTACCTCCCCTGCCCCCTCCTCCCCTTCCTCCCCTTCCCTCCTTGGAACATCTCAATAACCAACACCCAATTAGTTTAATTATTTTCCCAATATTCATCAAGTCATTAGCCAGGCTTTGTTGATTGATTAATTCATATGTGACACCTGAAAATTAGACACCCCAGTTTGAGGTTAGGGTTATGTTAGGTTTGGTTAGGTTAGGTTGGGTTAGGTTAGGTTAGGTTAGGTTGGGTTAGCGTAAAGGTTTTTGGTCATCAGGTGCAATAAGCTATGGGGGTTAATTTTCACATATAATATTTACTTAGATTAGTATCAAATCCCTTAAAATTAGTATAAGTTCCCTTTAAATAAATACAGATTCCCTTATCCTACCCTAAAATCCCTTAAAAATAACACCAACGCCCTTATCCTACCTTAAATATCCCTAAAGGAGCACATCAGGGCTCTTAGTGGTGATATCCCTTTGTTATCTTAGTATGTGGGATCTGATCACTTATGGACGAGCCTCTGAAAAGACTCTCTCTCTCTCTCTCTCTCTCTCTCTCTCTCTCTCTCTCTTTCTTTGTCTCCCTCTTATTCCAGCTCTCTCTGTCTCTCTCTTTGTCTTCTTCTTATTTTAACTGTCTCTTTCTCCTTTCTCTCTAATTTCACCATTCTCGCTTTCATCCTCCTCTCTCTCTCTCTCTCTCCCGCCCTCTCTCTCTCACAGTCTTATCACCGTAAACTCTGTAAGTCAAGACAGGTGCCAAAAAATTGGACCATAATGTATATGATGCTCCTTGTTGATCAGCTGGGACGGCGACGAACAGCTGCTGGGGGCCTGCCAGTGTAGAGTCGTGGAGGGAGGGAGAGGATGGAGGGAGGAGGAGGAGAATGGGGAGATTACGTAAGACTACAATCTGATCTAGGGGGTAAGATGGGGGTGAGGAGAGTAAGAGGGAGTGAGGTGAGAATGGGAGGAGTGAAGATATGAGGGATGGGAGGTAGGAGAGGAGCTTGAGGAAGAAGAAGAAGAAAGGGAGACAGGAGGAAAGGAAGAGGGGAAGGTGGTGGAAGGGAGTGGCAGGAGGTTAGAGGGAAGAAATAAAAGGAGGAGGAAGAGGAGGAGAGGAGAGGAGGAGGCGAGGAGGGATAAGGGGAAGGGTAGGAGAAAGAGAGAAGGAAAGTGTACCGAGGAAAGATTCTGATTCTGTAGGATCATGGGTGAGGAGTGGTGAGGGGAGTGGTGAGGGGAGTGATGAGGGAGTGGTGAGGGGGGGGAGGCGGAGATGATAATGGTGGTGGGATTTGGTGGAGGCCAAGGGGAGTTGGGGTCATATCCCATGAGGGAGAGAGAGAGGCACAATACCACCTGCAAAAAAGCATAAGTAACTTTATGGCCAATACCCCACTATGCCACTAACTGTGTGCATAGATATACTTCCCACCACATGCATTAAAAGCCTCAGCCCTTACATAATAACGTCCATCTGTGTGTGTGTGTGTGTGTGTGTGTGTGTGTGTGTGTGTGTGTGTGTGTCCGAGACTTCTCAAGGACTCTAGAAAATCCCAAGAAGTTGATTGGAAAGGACAGTGTCCGAGACTTCTCAAGGACTCTAGAAAATCCCAAGAAGTTGATTGGAAAGGACAGGTCAAGTTGGATGCCTTGGGGACTCTGGATTGGCGGTGGGATGGGGTGGGGTGGGGTGGGGTGGTGTGGGTATGGTGGGGTGGTGTGGGTATGGTGGGGTGGTGGGTGAGAGGATTTCAAAGACCCACAACAAAGTCGACCTTAAGTGGGTACACAAGTTTATCGGTAATCCTGGAGATCTTTCTTCCTACTCTCCTCAACTCACATTATCAATAAATATCAATGATGAAGAAATTATATTATTCCAGCTATAACTATCATAATTATACACTAATTTAATCGTGACTATATCTATAATCAGGTCCTAAAAACCACTTAAATTATAGGGAAATTAAAACAAAAATAGAATAATTATAAACCCCCGAAAAAGTTATCAGTCATCAAGTAAAACAAAAGAGTCTCAGTTCTGTTGACGTCTTTGTTTACCTTATACTGTATGTCACGTCACTGCCATAATAAGGTCATATATGCATGCCCTTCAGATCAATCCCCTTTAAAACTCATCATCAAATCAATTATCACGTCACACCGAGCCATTATATCAATCACTGTCAACTTGTACACCTAAATCTGTCTATCTCATCTAGCCTCACCTGTCCACATCTGAGACAGTAACCTATACACGAGTGACAGGACACTTACTATGATACGGTATCCACTTAGACTCATCCCAGGTATAAAAAAAGTATATAGATAATTTGGTGCTGTTTTTTAAAGACTTTTTTTTAATAAAGCCCATTAAAGCCGGATTTTTTTTAGGTAAGCTAATTGACCGGATTTTTTTTCTCTCCAGGTAAGTCAATTAACCGGATATTTTTCCAGGTAAACCAATTAACCGGATATATATATTTTAGGTACGTCAATTAACCGGGTATTATTTCAGGTAAGCCAACTAACCGGATATTTTTTTCAGGTAAGCCAATCAACCAGAGTATTTCTGGTCAACACTTCACTCTTCCATCTGGCTATAGTGTTCCAGTTTCCCGTATAATAGTGGTAATCGGTCCGGCTCATATATCACTGCGCTGTTCCATTATGCTATAGATACAGGGGAGTAATTGCCTATTTTATCACAATTCCATTAACTAAAAAAAAT